TACCCATTACACTGTGTCGAAGATGGGTCCCCTGGCTGTTTGGTTTTAATGCAGCCCTTTTCATGTTAATTATTCATATAAAGCCCCGTTCCTTCTAAGTAAATGCACTGCCGTTAGGGGTGACGCTGTCCGTCTCCTGTTCACAGGGCAAGTGTGAGAAGCGAGTGCAGGACGTCATCGAGCGGTTTTGGGAGTTCATTGACAAGCTGAGCATCAATACTTTTGGTAGGTGGCTCCCCCACGTGGTTAGTTGCTTAGAACTGAGCTGATTCCTAGAAGTGTGGTTTCAGACTGATACGCTCTGATCCTGCAATAGAAGGTGGAACTAGTCACCACTTTTGTTTTGAAACGACTTTGTTGGCTAAATAAAACGGACTCATGGGTCTGCCCCTGGACAGTGAGGATGCACAAGTGTTCAGACAAGGGAAGTCAGAATATTGGCTTCTTTACTAAAAAACAAACGAACATGTAACAGCATAAGCCTGGTTCATTCCTATAGATTGTAAATCTGAAACCTATTTGGTGTAAGAATCATTTATTTAAAAGTGAGCCTCAGATTTTGCTGAAGCGAGGATGCACTGTGCCCTCCGGAGTTCATAATTTATAGTTTAGTCACAAAAATAATAATACCCAGATAGCAACAGCATTGCCTCCGTAAGCATCGTTCCTCATAGTGGCTTCCTCTCCGGTGAGTCCACGGATGCGGTCCCTCCAGGGACCGCGGTGGCCCTCTGTCACGTGGCCTGTTCTCGGTCAGCGCGTCGGGGCTGTTGCGGGGGGCGCGCGGTGTGGGCAGGGGGTCGGGGCTGGTGCAGGCGCCGTGGGCTCGCCTCTCGGGCCGGAGTCAGTGCTAGTTCCCAGCCGACGGTCTGAGGCGTTTGACACATGGTGATATTCTAAGAGCATTTAATTTTCAATTTCTAAAGTTCTTGGTTAAGACGTTGACTGTCTGGAATTGTCCACAGGGAAGTTTTTAGCAGACAACATCGTAGGCTCCGTCCTGGTTTTCTCCTTGATATTTTGGATCCCTTTCAGCATTCTTGTCCACTGTGTGGTAAGTCCCTGTTTTTTAAGCAGTAAAACGTATTAGAATTTTGAACAACTCCAACCATATAACCTTTGAAAAGATAAAATTTGCTCTTAGAAAAATCTGACCTCCTATATCCAATGACATTTTGGTGTTATCCCTGGAAAAACACATTTTGTGAAAGGGGTAACTAATAGTCTTTTTGAATAGTTACATTTTGTGTGTGTTGTTCTCATGTATAATTTCTGGGGAATTTGATACTCTAAGCGCACGAAGCTGCTTACCTAGACTTGGGCAGGGCCTCTGACGAGTGAAGCTTCTAAACGAGCATTTTCAGGCTGGCTCTGTTGTAAAGAGCGAATGCCAGACAGCACGTGGAGAGTATTCAGATCCTTCCAAACGGTCATTGTGAGCAGTCTATTTTATTTAAAATGAGTAACCGCTAACACAATGAATTGGGCTTTATCTGTGAGACTCCAGATTTTCTTACAAATCCGTTCACCTTTCCCCCGTGAGAGACTGAGGACTTGTCTGCTGCGTGGAGACGAGGAAGTCAGACCCAGGCGTCCAGCCCTGGGCTGCCGCTCCCCGCGGTGCCCTCCCGCGGGCACTTGGGCGACTCCGGCACCGCTTCACGGCTGCTGCTGCCCTCCCTGGGCGCTGCTGTCTCACTCTACGGCTCCTTGTCAGGGCGGTGGGCCTGATGTGTACGGGGCGGGGGGGGCATCTCTGCTAAAGCAGAGCTGTGTTAAAAGGGACACGGGTGACCTTCGACAGACGGGTGACAGTGCCATCCATCATGGTTCCTTTTACTTGAGAGTCAAACGTACTTTGTTTACAGTGAAAGTTATGACTGTGGACCGTGAGGCCTGACCCTTGAGTCCTGAGCAGAGCTGCCAACAGCAGAGGGGCAGTGGCTTGTTTCTACAGGGGACGGTTGGGGCAGCCATACTGGAGGCCAGGCCTGCATTCTCGGCCTCGGCCTCGGCCTTGCCCGGGGTCGTCTGTTACTTGTCAGCCACAGGCAGGGACCACATGTTCTGCTTTCTGCAGCAGTGTGATGTCAGGACTTGAAGCCCAGTTCCTCTAAGAGTCTGGAACACAGAAGCTCTGGGACACGGCTGAGAAGGGTATCAGGGCTGTGGGGCACGGGGGCAGTGTGAGGCCTGGGCCAGGTGAGGCCGCGGACCCGGCGCCTCAGCCTCCCCAGAGCTGCCCTCGTGGTCAGCGCGCCTCCGAGCACTGCACACGCGGGGAAGTGCCCTGTTCCTGCCCGTGGTGTGGGGGTTCCTCTCAGAAACCTTGCCTGTTTCCTTGCTTGACGCCAAAAACATATTTCCTTCAAGTGCGAAGGAAACACCCTGGCAGAACTCTTAAAGCTTGCGTAAGAGATTCATTCTCCTCTGCTGGGCCTGCTACCACTTGCTACAACTCAAGTTAGTTCTTAATACTCGGAGAAGCTTCTCAGGAAGGAGCCTTCGCTGCTCATAGGAATGGCCTTTCTGAAACCTCGCTGTTCTTCTCTTTCCAGGATAAGAAGCTGGACAAGCAGTATGAGTCTCTGTCTCTGTTCCACCCCAGTGTGAGTATCTGACTCGAAAGAAACTATCGTTTTCAGTTGCGTTTTGAGACCTGCTAAGCCAGCGCCTTCACTGGCCGCCCCGGCGAGAGCTGTCGGCCTTTCTGGCTGCCCCTTCTTTGGCTGGTGGGATGTCATGTTGTAGCAGGAAGGATCTAGGTTGGATGTTAAGGTAAATTCTGTGACAGTGACAGTGAACTTGGATGAGATAGCAGAGGAGCGCCGCCCGCCCTCGCCACAACCCTGAGTGACTGGCTGTTCAGCACTTGGTGGGAGATCTAGTCTCTCGGGATCTTGACAGGGTTGTTTCTTATGAGTCCCTTTTGGGTCTTCAAATGGCGAGTCGTCCAGACGTTTGGAAGCTGTCTGAGTTGCTTCTGAGGTTGGGGCGTCTTACCTCATGCTCTCCATGTCACGGGGATCAGGGCGCCCATGGCGTGTGGCTGTCTGGTGGGGAAGGTTGGAGTGGGGGACCTGGGATTCATCGTTGGCTCCCTGTTTTTCCAGAACGTCGAGATGCTCAGCAGCATGGATTCAGCCTCGGTTCGCATCATCAAGCCCTTCCCTGCGCCCCAGACCCCAGGCCGCCTGCAGCCTCTGCAGGCCGCCCCCGCCCCGCCCTCCGGGCCTGCAGGGCCCGCGGCTCTGAAAGCGGACCACCAGCGGATGGACACCATCCAGGAGGACCCCAGCACGGACTCGCACGTGGACGAGGACGGCCTCGAGAAGGACCCCTTCCCAAGTAGCAGCACCGCCGCCAAGTCGTTTGAGGACCTCACGGACCACCCGGTCACCAGAAGCGAGAAGGCCTCGTCTTTCAAGCTGCAGCGGCAGAGCCGCGTGGACAGCAAGGAGACCGAGTGCTAGGTCAGGGCTGCGCGCGCGCTCTGAGGGAGCATGCGGAGCGTCCCTATAGATTTGACCTCAGATCACTGCATATATTTTGTGAAGATTTGGGAGAAAGAAGGAAGTGACTTCTCAGCAGATGCTGGTCATGTGTTTGGACTTCCTCTGCGTACGTAATACTTGCGTGGTTAGGCCCTTTTCCTTCTGGAGAGGTAAGGTGACTCTAGCTTGTTTTGAGGCTTTCAGGTTTTAGTTTTTTTTGGTCTTTAAAATATCCTTCAACCTGTGGTGCAAAAGCAGAAACTACAGCTGTATTAGGTTATGAGTATTTACGTTTTTGTAAATTAACCTTTTCTGTTGACAACAGCACTGACTAGGGAGACGGCCCGCTGTTTCATACACTGTACTCAGCTGGTGGCCCTAACGAGGCGGTTAGCAGCTTCTCGCGAGGATGACTGGAACACAGAATAGACTTATCTTTTTGCCTTCAAGTAAAGACAAAGGGTTATGAAACCAGGTTACACCTTCTCCAAAATGTGGGTTCTGCTGCTGAGTATGACCCAGGATTTTTAGCAGACGGGAGAATTAACACATCTAAATTTAGGAATATGTTGGGTCAATGTTTCTTTGTAAGTCTAAATTTTTACATTTCTAATTTTTAGAATTAAAGCAATCTAGCTTACAGTGAGGGTTACAAATTGCAGCCAGATGAATTCACAGAATCCTGCCCATTGTCTTGGGTCCTCATTAGCTGGGCGGCTCTTCTGTGTTCTGTAGGTATCTTCATGTATCTGATGCTGCTCTTAAACTCACCCTTCAGAAAACCTAAGCTACTTCAGAGTCAGAGTATGGTCACCTCTTCTCAAACGCTGGTGGCCAAGAGGGCACGTGAGACAGTTCTCGCCAAAAGAACAGGGTGTGGTGTGCCGGCCTGGGGCTTCATCCCCCACAGCTGATTCCTAAAACACCTTGGTGTTGACCCAAATTACTTCTTGCTTTAGTGCTTCAGGACGGTCTGCATTTACTGTGTGAAGGATGAAAACCATCAGACTGAATTCTGATTTCCTTTTAAAAGCTTTTTTCCCCTGCTAAGAGTACTGGAATGTGCTCACCAGCCAACACATCTTAACTGAGATAACTTGTAAGCTTCGAGGGCAATCAACCAAACCTGTGATAAATCGTATCTTTTTTTCCTAAGGACCGTTTGTTACGCAGATACCTGTTACACTAATACTTGAACTTGTATCTCGTGGTATTTGCTGTCTTTTAACTCGTCATAATATTCTTACATTTTAGTTACCCTTTTGGAATCTGATAGGTGAGTGGGGTGTGTGGGTGTATGTGTGAGTGAAATGGTTCCCAGATGGATGTAAGAAAACCATTTTTTATAAAATTGTGACTTTTTAAGAAAACAAAACTGTCTACCTTTTTTCCATTTATAGAGTCAACAAGCTGCTCAGGGTATATTGTGTCGCCGGGGCACTGATAACACCTGCATCCATCAATAAATATTATCAAAACACAGCGCACCTAGGTACAGAGCCTCCCTGAAACTTCTAATGCTTTTATTAACCTTGGTGGCAGATGTTAGTGATTTGTGTTCCAGGGTCATGAGCAAAGGTTTAAACATGAGAAGAAAATACTTTGACTGCTTCTCTTGGGACCTCTGTGTGCTGGCGACGTCCTGTTCTGCAGGTTAACGGCCGGGCTTGGTTTCCGGGGACTAATGGTCTCCGTCCCCCAGGAGGCTGAGTTCCGGTTTGGCTTCTGCCACGTCTCGCCAGTAAGGGAGCAGCAGAGGCAGGGAAGAGACTCTCTTCTCTATCAGTGGCCAAAGATGGGTGAACAAAAACTCATTTCCTTTTGGTGATAAATGTAGTCCATCTGACAGATAGGAAGAAAAGTCCTGTAAGGGAAGAAAACTCAGTCAAGGTGTGCACGGGGCTCCCAGCTGTGGCCGCAGCCGGCAGGTCACCAGCCCCAGGCCAGCAGTCTCCTGGGGCTGCGTTAGCTGGGTAAGCGCTCACACACCCTTTGTGGAGGCTTCGTAAAACCTCACACCATTAATAAGTACCTGAGCGAAACGTCCTTCCAGGTCATCAGAAGGCAGGCGAGGCTTACCAAGTGAATACGGTACATTAATCAACATAAAAAAATTGTCCAAAGAGCTCAGGGCCCAGTGTGTGAGACTGTTTGTTTTTGACTCTTAGTTAAGTTAACAGGCACGTTATCAGGTGCAGAGATTTTGTACCATCCAGCCAAGAGTCCAGTCCCTCCCACGCCCTGATGCCAGGAGCACCTGCGGTTAGAGCCCTGCCTCCTTTGGGGAAGAACCTTTTCCATCCACTAGCGCGCGCCCGTCCCTGTTGGAACCTGGGTGCCAGCTAGCTCGTGACTACAGACCAGTCTTCTCTCGGGCCTTAGTTTTCTCATCTCTGCTGTTTTAGATCAGATGATCATTAAGGGAGACCTTCCCAGTTCTAGACCCTTGATATGTTAAGGCTAAAAGGACTTTCTGAGAGTCACTAGCCCAGTTCTCTGCAATTTCCTTTCCTCAGCAGCGTAACTTTTCTAAACCATACTTAAAATTTGTTAACAGGCAAAGCAGTGAATTTAACTTTCCTCTGGCTCCATAATATGAAACAGCCTGGATGTTCTTAAATATGAACCATTTCTTGCTTATTTATTTCACAACATGCCAGTTCCTGTTATGGGGCCCCTAGAATATGATGCCAACCACTAAGTGTGGGTGAGGAGCCAGGCCAAGCAAGGTGCCGGGTCTGCAGGCTGTCCTGGAGCCTCTCCTCCCCTCCATCCGCTCCATCCCAACTTTTCTGTTCTATTTGGTGAAAGGAGCAACTATCTCACCTACTCAGAGCGTTCCAGGCAGACAGCACACAGCTGGGCCACTTCTGTGAGATCCTACTCACCCTGACAGGACCGAGCCAGCCACTGTACCTGACCGTCCTTCTGCATCAGGGTCCACAGGTCAAGTGCGTCAATCCCACAGTCTTGGGCTACTTGTAAGCAGGCCCTGGCATATTCACCAACAACCATGTTCAGGCGATTTAATTTGCAACCTATTGAGAGGAGAGAAAATGCAGGTGAAAACTGATAAACCCAAGTACTGGGCTTTGTGTGAGTTCTACTACCTGGAGGGTTTCTCAGTTCGAGGAATCAGGCGTGTGCTTACAGACCAAAGCGGGCCAACCTCGGGGCTGGGGACCCAAGGACGGGCCTCACAGGGCACCAGTGTGCTGCTCTACCAACCAGCACAGAGCCGGGGGCCACGGGATGAGGGAAACACGGAGGGCATTTAGAGGACACCAAATGGACGCAGAGACAGGAAGGACGGGGGGTGCCGATGTGCTTGGTGAGAATGCAGGCCAGAGGCGAACAGAGTTGGGCTGGTGGCTGTGAGGGGTTCTCTGGAGAGGGATGCTGGGCCGAGACCCCTGAATTTTTATATGTAATGAGGAGCCACCGCCATAGAGTGGAAAAGTCACTTGTAGACTTTGAACCAGGGAAGGGTTGAGCCCGAAGGGACCACAGAGGTCACTCAGGCCAGCCTGGGGGTCATCAACCCTTCTCTGCGTAGGGCTGGACAAGACACTTCAGGCTTTGCAGGTAACTAGTCAATCTGCTGTCAAGGCTCAAAAGTGGCCACAGACCATATGCCTGGCTGTCGTCCAATAAAACTATTTGCTGTAGCCAGTGGGGCACAGTTTACCCACCTCCAGTGCAGTGCGGGGTTCTCAACCTTAGGTACAGCAGGGTGACCTGGGGGACGCACGGGGCTCCGCCCTGGGGCTCTGCTTCAGTAGGTCTGGGAAGAATCCAAGAATCTGCATTTCTACCAAGTCCCCAGGTGATGCTACCTGCTAACCGTGGACCCCAGGAGAACATGTGTGCTCTGATGGCTTGTAAACCTGGCTGAAACTAGAGTAAAAAACGTCTCTCACCAGGACTCATCACACACACATCTACATGAGTGACAGTCTCCCAAGACATGTCCACTGCATGCCAGATACGGATTTTTCTAATCTATTACAGTTCATTTAAAAAATGTTACATAACTCACTTGGCTTCATGCTCCACAAGTGGGCTGTGACCTGCCACGTGAGTAGTGCTGAGTTCTGGCCGGCACACCTCTGCTCGTCCAGGCTTCGCATGAATGTCCCTGCGATGACACTACCTCACCAGCGACCCCTGATGCAGGGAGGAACCCTCTTGTGACCTAAAGTTGCCTTGGATGACGCCCTTGGGGAGGGGTCCTCCATCTGCCCTCTGGAGCTAACAGCAGGGCATTTCGTCCTCTTTCTGTGCCAGCATCCTTCAAACGTCTGCTGACAGCTGGCCCTGCTCCCTCACTAGCCCAGTAAGCTCGGTTCTAGTCACTTCTGCATCCTGAGCACCCGGCCAGGTCCTGGTGGAGCACGTACAGGTGCAAAGATGAACAGTTTGTGGGGATAAAAGTGACGCCGACGGTAGCGAGGCAGAAGCCTGGAGCGGGTGAGCCTAGGCACTGCCTCCAGTTGCTCAACCACAGGGACATGGTGGCAGCCTCGCACTGGGGCGCCTCTGGGCCAGGGACCTGCAGAGGAGCCTTTGCTCTGGGGTGAGAGGCCCCATTGCAGAGGGAGGATCACAGGTGAGGCGAGGCAGTGGAGAAAGCGCCACAACCAGACAGAATGAGCAAAGTGACCAGCGGCGGGCACCTCCCACTGCTGGGAAGTCAGGCAGACGCCCCGGTGCGGACGTCCGTGTCTGGGTGCGCACACCCCGAGCCTCAGCACCGGGCGGGCTGCAGTTCATTGGGCTGCTCGGCCTGATTCTCAGTGGCTTCGTGTGCACCTTGGAGTCAGGCAAATACAAAGCAGCCAATCCCAGGCCAGGGGGCTGACTCATCCCACGCAAGAATCCCCTTTCTTTGTCAAAAGTTCTCAGGTGGGACATGAGGGGAGTGCTCCTCTAACTGTGTTAACTGAAAGCCAACGAATGTGGATTCACCCACCCTTGAGAACCAGAGGCGCACAGGCTGGAGGCCAGCGTCTGGGGGCCCACCCAAGGGGCCCACGTCCAGGAGCCCTGCTCACCTTGCTGGAGGCACTCCTGTTCCCACGCGGCCTCACAGAGCGGGGACGGTGTGATGAGGACGAGCCTGCTCTCAGGCACGTCCACGGACTTCAGGTACTGCACCATGCTCTTCAAGTTCGCAACGTACTCCTCCAGGGGGACGTGCTGCTTGGGGTTCTCGTCTGTTTGGGAGGAATGTGGATGCTTCAGCCCGAGGGCAGGATTGTTATGTGGACGACAGGGAGATAAATGCACCTGCAGGTGTGCAGAACTCATGATGGGGCCGGGGCTGTACAGCACCAAGGACAGAAGAGTTCAAGTACATGGTGCTTCATAAAACGGGCTTCAGAGGCCCTGGCTCGGGGCCTTGCAAGCGCTCTCGTCTTTCTCCTCTAGTGGTCCTATGGTTGTTAATCGACCAGCCTACACTCGCAAGGAAAGAAGAGCCTGGGCTGCACAGTGAGATGGCCCAGATACCACCAGCCTGGCTTTGTCACCGACCAGCCTTGTGCCCCTGGACAAATGACCAACCTTTCTGATCAATCTTTTCCTCGCTGGTGAAATGAGGACGATGACAGGGTCTGCCCTGGAGGGTTGCTGTGACAGTTATATCAGCAAAGTGTGCGAGGCACTTAGAGCATCGGGCCTGCCACAGAGCAAGCTCTCAGCACATAAACTAGGCAACAGCTCTTCAGCTGCAAAGGATTATTTCTAGATGGGCTCGCACGCGAGAATCCTAAGGCTGACTGCAGGCCATTTGCAAACTACACATTAGTATAATTTAGGAAAAGAATAAACGCCCTTGTGATCCTACCACCCAGAAAAAACCTATTTCTTTCCAGTCTTTTCCATGTAAATATGAACACTTTAAAAAAAAAGGGGGGGGTCACACTGAAGATAAACGGCCATATTGTGCTGCTTTCCACATAACATTACAAGCATTTCTTTGTCCGCAAACAGTCCTCAGAAACGTGGTGTCTGGTGCAGGGCAAGCACCACTAGTGCACTTCCCTGCTGTGCAGCATTCTGGTCTTTTGCTACTAGAAATAACAGCTCATAGAAACCTCTGCACAGGCACCTGGTGCACTGCTGAGCGTCTCCTTCGGTGGAAGCCTCTTGACATGTGTGGTCAAGCAGCTTTGCAGAAGGATCGCAAGTCTCCCCGCCAGTAGTGGAAGGGGCTGCTCCACACGTGTCAGCTGTTAAGCATCACTGCTTAAAACTACTGATTTGAGAATCAAAAAGCCCAAATTCCTTGTTTTAATTTTCATTTTGTGGATGACGGAAGTTTTTACACATTTTCAAACGTGTACTGGTTATTAAATTTCTGTTGTGAATGATCTGTTCCTGCATTTGCCTGTTTTTTTTATTGGGGTATTTTTCTCACTGATTTCTACATTAAAAAACAAACTATTTTATTTCATAAATCTATTTTTTCCTTTGCAACTTCCTCCATTTTTTTTGTACTTAGAAAGTGTTTCTCCTTGTCCTAAATTTGATAAAATTTACCTTTTAATAAACTTCTAATTTTTGCAGTTTTCTTTCTTAGTTTTTTTGGTATAAGATGTTAGGTGAAGATCTGACTTTTCCAAATACCTTACAGACTCAACCAACAGCAGTGATGTATCATCTCTCACAGGCAGCGAGAGCTCCTGCGTCACAGTTGGCAGCTCTCCCTTCCTCTCCAGCCTCACCCGAGAGGCCCTGCATGTGCCTGCACTGCGGAGCCTGGTGGGGGGGGGGGGGTCCGGGAGAAACCTCTGGAAGCTGACTGCTCTCCTCCCTTATGCCGAGCAGAGGGATCTCCTTCCACGAGTAGGAAAGGAAGAGAGGCCTGTGCTCGGCCAGCCTAGCCTCCAGCCTTGGCAGCAGTTCTTCCTGAAAACACCTGTTTCCCGTCGCCCAGGAGTCAAGCCTGCGCCGGGTCACGGCGCTGCTGCCCAGAGCTACTCTTTTTCCATTAGTGTGAGTCACACTGTAAGTTGTACATTTAAGCCCTCTGCTACCAACTACATCAACTAAAGAGAAAGAAACATTAGAAATTTAGCTTGGCACTAATGGATTCTAAAACACATTAAAGTGTTTCAAATTTCAGGCCTATCAACAACCCAGGCAGGTAGAACATAAGCTGGGAAATTAAATTCACTGACATTAAAGCCAGAAAAAATACATGTAAGTAAACTAGGGAACTCATAAACTTGGCAAAACTTTACCTACTGGGAGATAAGTAAACAGCTGGAAAAAAGCATATAAATTTAAGTTTGCTGTAACATAAAAAAATTTAGAATGAACTAAGAAAACAAAAATGCCTTTACCTTTTAGTGCACTGTCATTGGCACCAAAGAAGATTGTAACTGCTACTGGGGTGTCCAAACTGGTCCCTTTCCTGATTAGTCTTGGGAGGATAATTTTGGCCCATCTGGTGTTATAACCTGAAAATCCACGATTCAGAACATCGCACTTTCTGAAATGAAAAAATTTTAAAGCTGAATTGTGGGCAAAGAACTGTTCTTGTCCCCCGTAGCCCAGGCGCAGTGTGTGCCCCGGGCTCTGACAGGGCACAGATGCTGCCCAGGCTCCGTTCTGATGAGACTGGAGCAGTAACACAGTTGAAGCACGCCAGTCTTCCTTCCTTGTTCCAGGATATAGGTGAATCCACCCCAAATAAAGATGAACAAAGAGGCTACGACTCCGTCTGCAGACTGCCGAGCTCAAGCACGTCATTTCATGCAGCGGGGTCCTGCAGATGGAGCTCACAGCAGACAGGTATTAGTCTGAACCAAGCATCTTAGGAAGTCACTTGGCTGGAACTCTAATGGGGTAAGTGTATACAATATTTCTGAGACTTTTTTATAGACTATTTTTAAGAGGAGTTTTAGGTTTACAGCAAAGTTGAGTGGAAGGTACAGTTTTCCCACATACTCCCTGCCCGCAACCTCCTACTAACCACCCTGCCCACCAGTGGGTATATCTGTTACAGGTGATAAACTCCATTAACACATCATTATCACCCAGTGGTTTTGATCCAGTAGTTTTAGAAATATACGCTAATTTTGTTTTAGTTTAAACCAGTTAACAGGCATTTTATTCCTTCTTAAAAAGGTATGATTCACAGTACTATATGGTAAACCGAAAAAAAAAAGATGGAAAGTGAGCTGGTTGCCTGGGTTAGTATCCCAGCTCCAACACTCAGCAGCTGTGACCTTGTGTATTTTATAGACGTTTCAAGTTGCCCATTAAAAAAAATTTTTTCCGGGGTAGGGGGTGAGAATAGCTCAGTGGTAGAGCGCATGCTTAGCATGCACGAGGTTCCGGGTTCAATCCCCAGCACCTCCATTAAAAAAAAATAATGATTCTCAGAGTTCAATTTATGGTTAACAAATTGATGTGGTTAACTTTGGTGTATGGTTCAAATTCCTACATGTAAGCAACTAAGCAGAGAGGCCAGGCCATCAACGAGTAACTGCAGGCCTGAGGCCAAGCACTGGATGCCGGAGGGCAGCGGCAGGAGGCTGTTTTGATGCCACTCGGAAAGCTCTCAGCATCTTTGGAACAAAACAAATTCAGCCACATGTTTCTAAGTGTGATTCTTGTGTTTTTAGTGTTTAATGATTACAAAAAGCTGACTGGCCATTTTAAAGACGCCACTTACAATACTTCACAGTGGAAGACTAAATAAAATTTTGACAAGTCTGCCGTACATCCACCCAGTGGTTAAGTCACTGCAGCACTTACTTAAAAAACAAGAGGCAGAACAGCCCCCTCGCTGAGGCCCCGGTGTGGCCGGGACAGGGCAACGTGACAGGGCAGCGCCTGCAGTTAGAGCAGCGACTGCCTGGATCTCCCCGCCAGGACTGGCAGGGAGGCCTTAGCCATTTACTCAGTTTCTCTGAGCCTCAGTCTCCCCAGCAGTAAGAGGTGAACGCTAATACCTAACCTGCTCGGTTATGTGAAGATGAAAAGTAGTGTGGTGGTCAGGCACATACAATGAGCTCGACAACGGCGGCCATCACAGTTTTGTTTTGTTTTTTAAATATCATTATTATAAGGCCCTGAACCAGGAAAAAGCTGCTAGTGAGGCCCAGGGTTGGAACTGTTATAGTTTCCTTCTGAAAGGGGAAGAGGATCTGAATTTCTCTGGATTGAATAACACATAATCAATTAACCCAAGTTACTCAAAAGGCTAAAGAAACTGGAAAATTAAGAAAGGACTTTACATGAATTCTTGGCTAACAACAGGTATTTAAGTTCAGATGAAGATGGGAAAAGGAAAGAAATTAAAAGATTCCTTCCTTAACATCCAGGCTCAGTAAAATTGCCTTCCAGAAAAAATGTAAATTAGGTTTTTATAAATGACAGTGGGCAAGGGCATATCTTTAAAAGCAAACAGCAGAAACTCTTAAAAACTGAAAAAAGGTGAGTTTATTCTAACTCCTTCAAACCAAGTATTTTTGGTTAAAAAAATATTTAGATAAGGCTAAAAAAAAACCTGATGAAAATATCAATAAACTTTAAAAGCATTTAAGTGGGTTTCAGAATGGTTAAAATGCTTTTATAATGAGTATACAAACATCTTATTTAAAATAGCTAAAACTTAAAGAAGTCACTCTGGGACAGAATTACGTATTTTAAATTTATGACTATCCACGTAGGCAGTGCAGAAGGGCAGTTACAGTAAGGTGGCTCCATAACTTTCAAACTCGGAAATCAGGTTAAATTAAAACACCAAATCAAATCAGTTCCGGGCTGTGCACGTGGCTGAAGCAGACATTCAGGGCCTCAGCCCGCAAAAAACTCACCTCAAGTATTAACATGGCTAAAGACTGACCGTGTCCATCAAAGGGGCAGTTGTTTGGTGTGGGACAGAGGGGAGCCTCAGTGCTGGCACCAAAATAGGAGGGCGGTGAAGCGGATGGTGCCTCTGATGCCAAGACCTCTACACACAACCCTGTGCTCCCCACGCAGCCTAACTTCCCACGTGGGTCTGTCTGTTGGAAGAAGGTGGGCTCAGCGGGCCCACGTGAGTCATCCGCTCTGCCTGGGTTCAAGCCTGTGGCACTTTTGGTTCCTAATAGGGGTGAGGTGAATGTGCCCAGGTAGGGGAGGTGTTCTTTGCGGGTGGAGCCCAGGTGGGGAGAATTCACCTGGGGGAGGCCTCCTGGTGGGTCAGCCAGCAGCCACTTGGTGTCGTGCATCAGTCTGTCACAAGATGCTTTTAAACAGTGACAGAAATAAAGCATACCAGACCATACACTGTCTATAACTTCCTCTTTTCTTATAATTACTCTCAGTTCTGAAAAATAACTAGTTTCTAATTAAATGGCCTTCTAGCAATCACACCTGCACCTGACAAAGCTTTAGTACTGGAATTATTAACTATTTCTGTACTGGTGAAACATTTGAAATGCCTGGGTTTTTCAGGCCATTTGAATAATTATTTAGCTTTTCGATATTTTCTATTTGATCAGAAAAGGTTAATAGACTAATGAAGGTTACTGAATCACTAACAACAGCAGCTAGCTAGTATTTGCTGAGCACTTCTTAAGTGCCAGGCACCTGACCAGTCAGCATACATTAGCTTTTTCACCTCCAATCACCAGAGCAGGGGCCCTTGTCATCCCCAGACGCAAAGGAGTGTAGGTCTGGGGCCAGGCCACCTGACACTTGTGAGTTGTGTGACCTTGTTTTTTTTTTGCAGGGGAAAGTGATTAGGTCTATTATTTTTAGAGGAGGCACTGGGGATTGAACCCAGGACCTCATGCATGCTAAGCATGTGCTTTACCACTTGAGCTATACCTTCCCTGCCCTGTGTGACCTTGTTATTTACCTCTCTCCACCTTATTTTCCTCAGCTATAAAATGGATATGAGAATGATAAACCACTTTATTATAGGGTAGTTGTAAGATTAAATGAGATAAACACAAAATATGTTAAATAGGCTCTGGCACCTGGTAAGTATTCAATGAAAGCTAGCTATTATAATCCCATTTTACAGAAGAGAAAACTGAGGGATGAAATGATACTTCCATGTTTTAGATCAAGTCAACTTAAAGCATTTAGGAACAGAAAAAGCTGGAAGGTCATTTTTTTCATCTCTAGCTTAGGGGATAAAAATGAAGGACAAAGTGAAGACATTTTAAAACACATTTCACATTTAGAAATAACTTAAAATATATTTTCTTGGCATGTTAATTATACTGAAGAAAATTATCGCTACTACCTTACTATTTCTTCCAAAGGACGAAGACAAAACTCCTCCTGATCAATTTACTGACACCCCAAACACAAATACTTGTGTCTACTGTTTTTAATATGGAAAAGATTTCTAAATCTTTATTTTTTAAGCTCTTGAACTGGGACATTGCTTCCCTTTTAATGATTTCCTTGGCATATGCTTAAATTAATTTTGGCAAATGAAGTATCAATATCATCACTATTTCTGATATATTTCATATAGAGAATTTTTTGAGGAAAAAAAAATCTCTATCCAAAAATGAATCCAACTTTGGCTTTAGAATATATTTTGTTCTTTCAATTGAACTCCTAATTATTGAAATCATGTGTATCATAACTGAAAAAGAATGCACCTTGTTTAGCTAGTGAATAGCCATTATTTTTTCGATCAAAGCCCCTTATCAGGGCTTAGTTTCATGCAGTGGCAAAGTTTTAACTGAACCTGAGAGCATCCCTTCTCTTCCCCAATCCCATATATACCCTAACCGGGAAAGGCTGGCAAGGATGAACAAGGGAGGAACTTACTGTTTGAAACTGTATCATTCACTCTGTCTTCTCCATCAATAAACACTCAAGTATCAGTATAGAAACTATCCTCACCTGACCAGCTTGTCAGCCAGTGATGCTCCCCATCCACCCTGCTGGAAAGAAAACTGAAGAAAGAAAAGCCCATTACTACGTAGCAGTGTAATTAGGATATTTTGGTCAGCAAACTCTCCCCTCGTTTTCTCTTTGCACTCCCTGACTTCTTGGCATCCCCACTTGTTCTGCTCCGAGCTCACTCTAGGGATTACTACAGCTACCCCTCAGCAGCACTGTGGACGTAAAGGGGTTTTCTTCCCTGTCAACTGGATTTGAGTCAGTCATCTGCATCTTATTGAGACCTATATTACAGTCATTGTTATCTAAAAAAGCTACTTAAACCTAGGTACAGGAGACAATCACCTGTACGCTCAGTTAGGAAATGAAATCCATACTGTACTGCCTTTCATAGTTGAAAGAATTAATACGTAATTAATTTTACAGAACTCAGGGTGCACTTTTTTTCAGATGCATTCCCATGAGTTTGGAAAGTCCTTACTGCCCTACATACCTAAAAATAATGTTACCAGTTACTGGCATATACACAGAAAACTGGTTTAGGAAGTCATGCCTGGACGTAAGAAAAAACAAAACAAAAAACACCATGGGAGGGTAATTTAAAATTGTACTCCCTTTCTTAAGTAAGAACATCTATTTTTCTTTAATATGAGTTGAAATAATCTTGGGTGAAAAGATAATTTTTCACTTTATTCTTGGAGGCATTTTAAGATCAACCTGTTCTACCATAGGGAAGCACAGAGGTGAACTGGTTCCAAATGTTTTCTGCCTGGGAAGGGAGGTACTAAACTGCAGGAAGCGACTGGGTCGCCACCGTGGTCTGTGCAGGTGACCCTCTCGGGAAGCTCGGCGTGGGATACGAAGCACTGCTCGTGCTGTAAGTGACTAAAGCATGTATGGGGAAAGGACAACTGCCACTGACCAGAAGCCATTAAGATGAAAACAAAGCGCCTCAGCTTGTACCAGGTCTTCCTAAAATCCCTATGAAAAACGACACAGAAAGGAAAGAGCAGCCAACTCAGGCCTTGTCACTCCCAGGGCTGGCCTGGATTCGTCACTTAACCTCCCCGCACTTCGTGTGCAAGACAGGGCTACCTAATTCCAAATGAAACGTGTGTCCCAGTACTGCGAGGCGGCGCGCCCTCCTCAGGACGTCCCTATCCCTGAAGCTACCA